ATTCAATCTATTATGTATAAATATAAAACTGTTCGTTTTGAACCTTTTTTGGGTCCAGTAAGGGTGAGCCCCAGGAAGACATGCAAAAACAGGTGTGCCAGTCATGATGTTCAATCCAAACCAGAGTTTTGGCAACAGGATTGCTAACATAGCATTTGCCCAGGGTTCCCAAAACCTCCAATAGTACATCATAATCATCATGGCAGCAAGGAGCCAAATTGGCAACATCGACCAAGAGTTTTTCCTTATTCAATCTATTATATATGTAAAACTGTGAGCCCCAGGAAGACATGCAAAAACAGTTGTGCCAGTCATGATTTTCAATCCAAACCAGAGTTTTGGCAACAGGATTGCTAACATAGCATTTGCCCAGGGTTCCCAAAACCTCCATAGTACATCATAATCATCATGGCAGCAAGGAGCCAGATTGGCAACATCGACCAGGAGTTTTTTTTCCTTATTCAATCTATTATATAAAACTGTCGTTTTGAAGCTTTTTTGGGTCCAGTAAGGGTGAGCCCCAGGAAGACATGCAAAAACAGTTGTGCCAGTCATGATTTTCAATCCAAACCAGAGTTTTGGCAACAGGATTGCTAACATAGCATTTGCCCAGGGTTCCCAAAACCTCCAATAGTACATCATAATCACATGGCAGCAAGGAGCCAGATTGGCAACATCGACCAGGAGTTTTTTCCTTATTCAATCTATTATGTAAAACTGTTCGTTTTGAAGCTTTTTTGGGTCCAGTAAGGGTGAGCCCCAGGAAGACATGCAAAAACAGTTGTGCCAGTCATGATTTTCAATCCAAACCAGAGTTTTGGCAACAGGATTGCTAACATAGCATTTGCCCAGGGTTCCCAAAACCTCCAATAGTACATCATAATCATCATGGCAGCAAGGAGCCAGATTGGCAACATCGACCAGGAGTTTTTTTCCCGAATGCGTAGCAAGGGTTCCCGTTTCACTCTGGGGGTCTGGGGGTTGAGGGTGTGTTCGCTCGACGTTGCGTTCGCGAGCGCAACCGTCCGCAACCGTCCGCGCGAGGACCATACTGGAATGAACCGGGAACTTACTAACCTCTACAAGTAGTAATAGATGTTAGATGGTACTTAGTAAGTAGTTGTATGTCCCTAGTAAACACATACAAGTCCCTAGTAACAAGTAATAACCCATACTATATACATATACTACTTAGTACTACTTAGCATTGAAACCCCTAAGTAGTAATAAATGCTGTAGTACTTACTACTACTTAGCTAGTACTTAGCACCACATAAGCTAAGTCTTTAGCTAAGTACTTAGGTGGATAGCTAAGTACTTAGCTAAGTTAGCTAAGTACTTAGCTAAGTGTTGCTAAGTGGTTAGCTGATGGTTGATTTTGGTTTTAAAACCAATGTTTTTCTGTTTTTTATTTGAAAAAAACATGAAAATGCTGTGACCAAAAAACAATAAATGTTTTTTGGTTTTTGCATATGCATGCCATGGCTGATAAGTTTTGATTAAAAACCTAGTTTACAACAATTTGGCTCCTTTTTGGCCCATCAACCACATGAAAAATGTGATGTCATTTTTCACTATGTTCCCATTGCTTGGGTGTCTGTGCAGGTTCTTGTTCAAAGTTTTTATTCTTGTGACATGCCATTCATTTTCAAGACAGCCAGGCCAAACCTGCATGTTTTTTTTCTTTACATGGCATGTATGCCACTCTGGCATGCCATTCATTTTCAAGACAGCCATGCCAAACCTGCATGTTTTTTCCCCTTTACATGGCATGTATGCGACTGTGACATGCCATTCATTTTCAAGATAACCATGCCAAACCTGCATGTTTTTTTCTTTACATGGCATGCATGCATGTTCATTACATGGAAGGTTTTTTTTTGCCAAGCCTGTGGGCTACAACTTTTCTGTTGCCATTTTGTTGCCATGCACAGAGCACATGGGGATTCCCAACATACATGAGTCACATGAACATATATTTCATGCATGATTTTTGCTGACTGGGCTAGCCCAAGCCCCAAGCAGTTGCATGTGTACTGGAAGCTTGGGCTCTCATTGATTTGCTGCTACTTATTTTTATCTATCATGGGCACATCAGGCGCCAATGTCCCTTCAGAAGCATACATGCAGCAATGGAGGGAATCTGAAGATTTCTGCCTTGGTGATCACCCACCTGGAGCCTACTTACAATGTGATGCTGTTGGGTGTACAGGTGGATCCTGGATATGGTGCTGGAGGTTAAATGAAAGAAACCAGAGATGTAGACACTGCAGGCAGTTTTGGTCAAATGTCTTTTTGTCAAGTGGGTATAGATTCTGGGCATGGCAAGCAAGCAGGCAATGACCTGCATACTTGCACATTGTACATATGTGGTTCCTGGGCCCCAAAGAAATCCAAAAACGGTGACACCAACGCATGGATTTTTGAAAAAAAAAAACAGCTGTTTGCATACTGGTTGGGGTGGAGTGCACAAAGGCATGGCACATGAAAAATCATTTGGCAACATGCCACAGGCACCAAGCCTTTGTAGCAGGAATAGTGAATAGTCACTTGATATGTGGTGGACTTGCAGTGTGTGACATATTTTGAACACATACACATTATGCAATGCAGGTATGTTGGCTAAACAAATCCATAGACATGTGTGCCCCCAAGCACAGCCAGGTCATGTGGTGGCATTCATTCTGCATGCATGCATGGAAAGAGTCAAGCCAGGTGGCTTAAACATGTACATGTAGTCATTTTCATGGGCACAATGCCATTGCCATGATTTCATGAAACACAATCTCATGGGCACATGGTGGCTTCCAGAATTTCAGATCAAAGTGGAACAACATATAGTGCTGGTATCTTGCTGGCATCATGGTTTCCCAAGAGATCAAGTCAGAGATTGAGAAGGTGTTGAACTCCAAGTGTGGCATGATGGTGCAGTGGAAAGGCATTGAGAAGATCTTGCTGGATGCTGGCTTAGCATATGAGCAGGAGCTAGGGCCAGAGCACTTCCTGGTGCACCCACAAAACAGAGGGGGTACTGGGATCAATGCTTTCAATTGCCATAGTAAGGGTGCTGTGATCTGCAGCACAGGTGCAGACTTGTCCCAACTTGCAGGGTCAGTTGCTTTTGAAACCAACCCCAAGACCAAGCAAAAGCAGGTCAGCTTCACAGCTTCTTTAGCCAAAGAATCAGATGGGCTTTTGGCCAACCCCACAGGCATGGAAAGGTTTCTTACTGTCTCCAAGGGCCATACTTCCCAGTTTTGCAAGGCTATCAAGTTCAATTGCAGGACACCCCAAGCAAGTTTGGCTGGTGGGGATGGTTGTTTGGGAAACCATTTGTTGGCAAGGGATTCAGCTTTGGCTACCATGGTAAACAAAGGGTGGAAGTGGACCATCATTTTGGCATGTGTGGAAGAAACATTTCCCCAGCTGCCCTCTTTGGTGGAGTCTGCTTGCAACTCCAGCAATGCCACCTATGAAGCACAAAATGAAGTTCAGCTGATGTCAGCAATCATTGCCCACAACATCAGCCTCAAGCAGGGTGACAAAATCGATTTTGTGAAGGTTGCCAGTGATCTATGTCATGGAGGGCCTTTGAAATCATATGCTGGTGCTGTTGGCAGGTATGTCCAGCTATTTGCAGGCTGGCTATATATGTATTTAGAGACATGTACATGTTGCATGTGCTATCTCCATTCTACAGATTAAACATGACCATGGTCAAGCCAATGGCTTCAAAGCAGCGTACATACATGACTCAAGCCAGTGGGCTGCCATGTTTGTTTACTGGGCATTTGTTTTACAAAAAGCAACCTTACCATGTCATACATTCTGGCAGGTGGGCTGGATGGGCCTCTTGTGGCCTTCTTGGTCCACATGGGCAAGCAGTATGGTGAGAATGCCACCATTGGGTCAGAGCTCATGTGTGCACTTGTTGATGTCGCACTCAGCAAATCCAATCTTTTTGTGATGACAAGAAATGCAGTTCTACTCACAAACATGTGCATTGGCAAGTCCATTGATGGTATTGCCAGATTGGTGACCAAAACCGACTTTATGGCCTCAAAGCCAAGAAGTATGAAGACACCCTCAAAAATTGTGAGACCTTTTTGGAGTATGCTTGGAACAAGGCTACACAATCCCAGATTGACAGGTCAAAGTCCTATAAAATTTTTGCACTGGCTGCCATGAGGGCCATCCTTTACCTCTTTAAAAAAGAAAAGCATGGCAGAGAAGGGAAAGAATACACATTGGCAGAAATTGAAACCATGTGCAATGATGATTTGACCAAGGGCTCCATTTGCAGCATGTCCACATCTGAACCTTCATCAAGCACAGATGCTTCTCAGCCTGATGAGCAGGCCATTAGCATTCATGAGGGGAAGGATTCGATGTTTCTAGCCAAGAAGGCACTTGGGCTGGAGCCTGGGACCTTGTACACTCTGAAAGACTTTGGAAACAGGGTGTGGCAGTTGCAAAATGTGACACCAACATATGTCACATTAGTGTTCACACCCCTTTTGGAGCCATCCAAGAAAATGACAGTGAAGTACCAGGCCCATGAAACCATGTCCAAGATGAGAGCCTACAAAGGCAAACCTGCCAAGCTGTTTGAGGATACAGAGGTGACCAGCCTTTTCCCAAACCAAGAGTCAGAAGTTTTGAAGTGTCAAGTGTTCCAAGCATTACTTGAAGTTTACAACTCAGAAGACCTTGATGTGCAAGATATCTATGTTCAGAAGTGTCCAAGGGTTGCAGTGTATGCCAAAAAGAACATCAAGATCAAAGGGGTGAAGCTCATTCCAGTGCCTGAGAAAATTTCCAACCTCGTTGTGCAGGAGCCCAAGGCCACAAAGTATGGCATTTGCAAGTTTCAGGGCACCACCATGTACATCACACCCCCCAAGCCCTTGAAGTTTCCCAAGCCTGAGGACACAAACCAGCAGGTCAGTGGAATGTTTGCCCCCTATTGGGCATGCACTACCAAGGATGGAGATGGTGTCTTAGAGGAAAAGATGCAAAGCTTCAAATCCAGCCTAGGTGACATTGAAATTGGCATCCTGACCAACACCCAAGCCATTGATGGCCATCAAAGCTTGCACATCTATGAGGCCCCAAAGGATGAGAAGCCCGATGGACCTGTGCAAAAGAAAGCTCGAAAGTGAATAGGTTCATGCAGATTCATGCATGCATGCATGGGCAGGCATTGGTTTTAATAGAACATGATTCAGTGTCAAACCTTTGTGTTTCCAAATTTAGCTGGCCAGCCTCATGCATGCAATGGTGCTTGGGCTTGAAGCCATCACATTTCAAGGCAACATGGTGACATGAAAAAATAGACTTGTGATCTTTGGGGTGCCCAGTGTCAAATTCAAAACTCATGTCAAGCCTCTGGCTATGCAAAGTGCCATGCATGTGTTCATATGTTGTGCCATTGCATGTGTTGCCTACATGGCAAAGGTCATGCATGTGTTCATGGGGTGCCATGGCATGTGCTACCTATAGATGCTTTGCCATGAGCCATTCATGCCATCTTGAAACCATGTTATTCCATTCCAAGCCCCAAGGCTGTGCAAAAACATGCATTGTCATGATGCATGGGGTGCATGTAGCTTGTGTCAGAAGTAAAGGGTTACATGTCAAGCTTGCAGCTTCCTTTTCCATGGTGTGGTTCCATGGCATTTCATTGCATTGCCCAAGTCCATTTTTTGTTCCACTGTTTGGCTAGCTGACATGATTTGCAGACCTTTGCACAGAGTGTATGTTTGGCTTTGACTCAGCAATATTTGTAAAGACTCAAGCTTGTTTGGCATACCAAGTGTTTAGGCTGCTTAGCCATGCCACCTGTTTCCAAGAAGCCAGCATCATGCCTCAAAAAGCCTTCATGCAAGAAGACTGGCGTTAAAGTGAGGCCTGCAGCTTCTTTGGAGCAGGCACCTAAGAATGCTGCCAAGAAGCCTTCTATGGAGGAGGTAAAAGATGATGATGAGATTACACTTATCTTGGGTGAGCAAAGTGGGGCTGAGGATGGTGAACCCCCAATGGCTGTGCAGCCTCCCAGTCAGCTCCTGTCTGTGCAGCCTACAATGGATGGGGAGGGTGGGCCAGAGAATCTTGATTCCCAGAGCCCTGTTACCAACCAGCTAGTTGACCCCCCACCCCTTGAGCTCCCAAGTAGCAGCTATTATCATGATGTGGCATCAGCTAGTAGTGTCTAGGCCTTGGTTTTACCATTATTTTTTTTGATATGTTTCCTTGGTATGCCATGGCTTAAGTTTTAGCTTGTACAGCATTTTGTTTATAAATATGTCTGTGCACATTGCACCCACCCCAGGTAGCTCCATGCTTTCTGCTTCAGCATCATCATCCTCATCCTGAATCCAACTACATGCAGGGAGACTGCGACATGATCATTTGATTGGCCATGGAAGTTTTGAAGCAATGTGAAAACTTGGCAGCCATGAGAAGAAAGCAAAAAAGTTAAACAATAATGCCTGCCAGCTCTTCCTTGCACATGGGGTAATATGGACAGATGCATCCATGTTTCAGATGCGAAGCTTCATGCATGTTATATATATATATGTGTGTGTGTGTTGTGAGGGTCACAACATGTCATACATGTGTGGTCATGGGGTGCCATGGGCATCCAAGTATCTCTTCAAGCTTTACAGCTGGACACATGCCATGCATGACATGCAGTGGTGATGCTTTGGGAGCTTCATGGGCATCCATTCAAGAATTCCATGATTCTGCCTAGGTCCATGTCCCACATGGCATGCAGCTCTGGTCATCTTATGAGACAGCTCCAGCCATTTCAGTCCTGAGTATAGATAGAGTATATAGCATTACTGTCTATAGCTATTGCTCCCCATGGCAGTGAGCTTGCACTCTGTGGACATGATCCATTTGCATACCACAGGGAAAAAGTGGATTATCCCTGAGAACCTTGTTGAAGAATGTGATGGTGACAAGTTTTTGCAAATCTCAGCTTCAGCTTATGGCCTATGCAACCTTCTCTCCAATGGGACTGTTGGCAGATTACCCAGCCTCAAAGGTTCTATTGGTTTGACCTCTTTGTTGTTGAAGAGAAAGGACATCATGGACAAACTCTTGCAAGGCAACCCTGAACCTGAAGAGAATGAATGTTTGACTAGAAAGAAAAGAAAGGTATCTCCATCCACTTTGGCATCTACCATGGATTTGGAGTTGGATGGCTATGGGGTGCTCACCATCAAAAGGCCAGCTTCTAACAGGGAAGACCTCAAGATCAAATACACCACCACCAATGTTTACATCTTTTGCAGCTACATGATTGGTGAGGGTGCTGAGTGTGTAGATCCTGAAAGAAGGGCTTACACAGCCAAAAGTGCTAAGGGTGACACAAGCAAATAGGCATGAACAAGTACCACAGCACTTGTGCCAAAAGATTTGCTGAGTGCTACCAGGACTTTGGCATGTTGAATGCTTGAGAGGCTGGCCACACTGCACTCCACAACCTGGTTGCTACCTCTAACTTTTGTGTGCTTTAAGGGGTTTGGAATGCCCAAGGTGCAAGCAACATGTCCATTGTCAAGCCTTGATGGCTTTCAAGAGTCTTTATGGGGTGCTACCATGACATGGTGGTTGGCAATGAAAGATTATATACATCAGGACCATGTCATGTTATCAAGCCTGTGGGCTCTATTTGTATACCATGGTAGTTGCATCCATACATGGGTTCATGGTGCATGTTATTCATTCATGGGTGGTTTCCCCCAAGAGCCATCAGCCCCTTGGCCCCATGCCATCCTGGTTTATCAACCTGCTGAAGCCTTCATGGGCATGTGTAGAACAATTTCATGGTGGATCATGTTATGGCATGTGGATGTATGTTCATTCATGCTGATCCATGCATAACTATACATGCTCAATAATGTTCATGGCATCCATCAAGCCAATGTGCTTTGGCCTATTGGCTCAGAAGGTGCATTTTTGGCAAGCAAGGTTGCTATCATGTTCATGCATGTGTAACTAGTGCTCATGCATGTGTAGTGCAAACCATGTGCAAAATATTTTTGCTTGGCAGCATTTGGCTGGTACCCAACACTGTTGTCATGCTTGCATGCGCCTTCATGTTATACATGTGCATTCATGAACTTTCAGGTTGCATTTTTTAGATTCTATTGGTACCTCTGATCACCACACTTGCAATGGCAGAATCAGCATTTGAGCGATCAGTGAGGCCCAGATTGCTTGATAAAGCATCTGCATCCGAAGATGATGTTTGTGGCCACCATTGCATAGTTTTGCAGGGCCAGGATTTTGAGCCTTACCCAGTTGATGAAATGCATTGCTTCATTGGCATCTATCACAAGATTCAGTTTTTGAATGGAAAGTCAATGTGGAAAAGCCAGGAACTGGGTGGCAAATCTCCTTGGTCCCCAAAGAACACTGGATATTTGTGGTGGTCGTGTGTTTACAAAATGTACTTCCTCAGTCGCAAGCCCTTGGTGGAAAGGGATCATGATTTTCAGTTCCAGAACTGGGCCTCTCTGGGAATTGTTGCATCATTTTCTGAGGACCTCCAGAAGGCATATCTCCCATGGGATGCGTATGAGGAATGCTGTTTGGTCAAGTGGCTAAGTTTTTTTGACTGGGCCCATGAAATCATGTTGTTTCAGGAAACCAATGAGCCAGAGGCAGATGAACATGCACCTGCAACTGCAACCAATGCAGAATTGCCAGTGCCAGCCAACATGGTCTCAGCAGGTAGCTATGGTTTGATTTGTAAGCCCCCACCTGCAGTGGCTCCAAATTGGCCAACTTTGAAGAAGAAAGGCTACTTCAGCAAGTTGGTTTCCTATATGGTCAGCGACGATATGAACTTACCAATGAAGAAGGCTGCGACCAAAGCATGTATCATGGAGAGTCCAGTTTTTAAAGCTGTGTATGAGGACCACAAACAGCAAATGGAGAGGTATGGGGAAGATCATAGATTTAACTATGTACCCTCAGCCTCCTCTGGGTCCAGGGCCCCAGCAGAGCCTGCAGGAGCTCCAAGTGGCATGCCCACTGAAATGGGTGTTTGAGGCATTCACTCATTGGCATGTGTTACATGGAGTTAAACAGTTCTTAATGTTAGATTTATGCATGTTTCCAGATTTGAGCTCAACTAATTTGTATTACATGTTGCCAATGGAAACAAGTTCAAGCCCAAGTGCTATTCATCACATGTGCAACATGTTGAGGGTGCATGGCCTCAGGATCCATGTCAGGATGACCCATCCATTTTCGAATAAGAGCAAGAGTTTCCTGTCCTGTGTGGCTGGGATATTGTGTAATGAATTGTAAATTAGTTGTTTGTTTCTGTTGTGGATTCCAAAATGACCTTTTGACACAGATTTGGATTCCAAATTGAAATGCTGGAAAAGCAACACCCCAATTTGGATTCCAAATTTCCATGCTATCAAACCAACACACCAATTTGGATTCCAAATTGAAATGCTGGAAAACCAACACCCAGATTTGGATTCCAAATTGAAATTCTGGAAAACCAACACACCAATTTGGAATCCAAATTGAAATTCAATAAAACCAACACACCAATTTGGAATCCAAATTGGAATGTTTGTTAGCTTAATTGCTAGTTCCAAACAAGAAGTAAAGATTTGTGATTCACAACAGCTATGTTCATATGTGATTTGTGGTTTTTGCTATTGCCACACAGCTTTTGAAACCCAATTTCAATGCATGGAAATGTGCAGATGAAGTCGCCCACACACCATCTGCCTGTACTATGAAAAGGGTTGGCATTGAGTGCCCAACATGATTTGATAGTGAATGTTCACATGGAATGAAGCATGTGACAAGTATTTTCAAAGTAACATGAACTAAAATGTGCTGATATCATTGCATAATAGCTATTGGCATGTGCTTGACAGCAAAGAGTGAACAACACATGGAAGTTATTGGGTGATATTGGATGCAGCTGCTAATTCTGCATGTTCATGCCATGCCATGTGACCTCAAACATGTTTTGTGGATTTGCCTCATGCATTTGCAATTATATAATTTGACCTTTTACATGCTCAGAGGACATACCTCATGTGCCTACACTTGGAGGTGTGGCATGCATGTCACATGATCTGCATTATGGCTTAAGCTGCATCAGCTGGTTTTCCATGCATTCAAGTTGACTGACCATAGTGACATGAGCCAAAGCACCCAGCTCGATCCTGATGAAGATGATGATGATTGGCAATGTGCATCTTTACCTATTGAGGGTCCTTTGGAAAAAAGGCCCAGGCTGCAGCCAGAGAAATCTGTTGTCAAGTGGTTAGAACTACCACACTCACTTGAATACATTCCTTTTGTGTACAATAAGACCACCAGATTAGTGCACTGTGGTAGAGACAAGATGAAATGCAAGAAGAACCATGATGGTAAAACCATTGTGAAATGTATGTCAGGATGCAATACTGGAGACAGGCAGTGCATGGATGAATGCTCATGTACTTGTCATATCTTAGAAATTTTTTACAAAGTGGATTGATGCACCTTTCTCAGTATTGAAAAAATGAGCTGCTTATGTCCTGGGGATTTGAGCTCATGGGCCTGGTAGCATCAACATGTGTCAAGCCTGAAGGGCTTATGTGCTTGCATGCATGCTCATTACAGTTTTTGTTTTTTGTCATGTACTATTTGTTTACTATGTTTACCATCCTGAGGCCAGCAACCTGGCTGCTTCATCTTGGGTTCACATGATTTTCATCAAGCCTGGAAGGCTCACAATGTCGACATGCATGCAGCTACCATGCACACATGGTCTTTCATGGAGATTCAAGTCTTACAGACTTTTGTGGGTTGTCTTTCATGTCCTGTAACCATAGCCATGCCATGCTAGATAAAAGGGGGATGTCTTTGCATGCTCATGCCTGGAATGATGCTTTGCACTGGGGTCATATTTGACTTGTTCATTGGTAGTCACTTTGGCCATCAGATCAAATTACACGACATTGACCTGTGACTTCTCACCATGCCTACATGGTCACTTGCTGATGTGGAGAAGGAGTTGAAAGATGCTTCTGCTTTCTTGGGGCAAAAGAAAGCTAGCTCTGGTGCTCAATCTGCCACAAGCATGGAGGAAAATTTGATCAAGGGCATTATCACCAAGGTGGAATCATCGTGTTTGACAACATCTAGCAGTTTCTCTTTGTACAAGACCTTGGACGAATCATGCACCTATTTCTCCCAGGGCATGAAGGACACACTGAAAGCCACCATTGACACAGTGTTGACCAAGCCTACAGTGGAACCAGCAAATGCACATATTTTCAAACCTCAAACAGTGGATGTTCCCCAGTATTTAACAACACAGGAGTGGGCTTTAGTGATGGGTGGGTCTTCCTACCATGAAAAAGTCAGAGTGCTCACAGCCAAGTGCTCCAAGCTGGGGATCAAGAGCTTGGGGGAACAAACAGTTGGATCCATTGTTGCTTGTTTGCTTTGTTCCCTGACAGCCATACCAGACCCACCAGCTGTATACCAAATGGCCATTGACACAAAGCTGGCTTTCCAGCCTTGTACCACCAACCTCCCTTTCCTCAAAGTGTATCCCCAAAATCCAAGGGACTTGCCAGCTGAGATCATGTCATCAGCCTATGGCCAGGGAGAAGAACCTTCTGGCCAAGTTCCTGACAAAATACCCTATGATGCTTGGTGAGGTAATTTTGAGAAAGAGTAACAAAAAGCTGAAGGCTTGGCATGCTTCCCAGAAAGCCAAGGAGCCCCAACAAGTAGCACCCCCCACCACCCAACCAGCACCCAGTGCGCCCAGCTCAAGTGCCTATGGGCAATTCAACATTGCAGACCTCATGGCAGGTTTTATGCACTTCTCACAGGTCATGCAAAGAAACATGCACCAGTCCCCAAAGAAGCCTCAGCCCTCAGGAGATAGATTGGCTTTGACAAATGGTACAACCAACCCTTCTGTGGACCAAGGCTCAGCTCAGCAGTTTGAACCCAAACTCAGGCACCACCAGAAGTCTGTACAATCCAGTTCCCTGCCCATTGAAGACAAAAAGGCTGAGGCACACAATGAGGTGAGTGACACCCAAGAGGTCAAAGGCAACACCCCCCAGGGCAACCCACCCCAGGAGCCACCACAACACACTGGCAAGGATGTGGAGGATGCTGCTTTCATGGCATTTAAGAGCAAGCAAGAGGCTGCTAAGGCTAAGGCAAAGGCAAATAGCAAGGCCAAAGCCAAGGCAAAAGGTACAGCAAAGGCAAAATGCAAGGCAAAGGCGCATGCAAAGTCAGCAGGTTGCATGAAGAGGCCTGCATCACAAATCTCCATGCCTATGGCTTTTACCTATGAGCCAGGTGAGCCTGAGGAGAGGTGGGATGGCAAGTATGACTCCTGGTGCAGCAAGCACTACCATACATGCAGGAACATGGCTTGCTGATGTGGAGAAGGAGTTGAAAGATGCTTCTGCTTTCTTGGGGCAAAAGAAAGCTAGCTCTGGTGCTCAATCTGCCACAAGCATGGAGGAAAATTTGATCAAGGGCATTATCACCAAGGTGGAATCATTGTGTTTGACAACATCTAGCAGTTTCTCTTTGTACAAGACCTTGGACGAATCATGCACCTATTTCTCCCAGGGCATGAAGGACACACTGAAAGCCACCATTGACACAGTGTTGACCAAGCCTACAGTGGAACCAGCAAATGCACATATTTTCAAACCTCAAACAGTGGATGTTCCCCAGTATTTAACAACACAGGAGTGGGCTTTAGTGATGGGTGGGTCTTCCTACCATGAAAAAGTCAGAGTGCTCACAGCCAAGTGCTCCAAGCTGGGGATCAAGAGCTTGGGGGAACAAACAGTTGGATCCATTGTTGCTTGTTTGCTTTGTTCCCTGACAGCCATACCAGACCCACCAGCTGTATACCAAATGGCCATTGACACAAAGCTGGCTTTCCAGCCTTGTACCACCAACCTCCCTTTCCTCAAAGTGTATCCCCAAAATCCAAGGGACTTGCCAGCTGAGATCATGTCATCAGCCTATGGCCAGGGAGAAGAACCTTCTGGCCAAGTTCCTGACAAAATACCCTATGATGCTTGGTGAGGTAATTTTGAGAAAGAGTAACAAAAAGCTGAAGGCTTGGCATGCTTCCCAGAAAGCCAAGGAGCCCCAACAAGTAGCACCCCCCACCACCCAACCAGCACCCAGTGCGCCCAGCTCAAGTGCCTATGGGCAATTCAACATTGCAGACCTCATGGCAGGTTTTATGCACTTCTCACAGGTCATGCAAAGAAACATGCACCAGTCCCCAAAGAAGCCTCAGCCCTCAGGAGATAGATTGGCTTTGACAAATGGTACAACCAACCCTTCTGTGGACCAAGGCTCAGCTCAGCAGTTTGAACCCAAACTCAGGCACCACCAGAAGTCTGTACAATCCAGTTCCCTGCCCATTGAAGACAAAAAGGCTGAGGCACACAATGAGGTGAGTGACACCCAAGAGGTCAAAGGCAACACCCCCCAGGGCAACCCACCCCAGGAGCCACCACAACACACTGGCAAGGATGTGGAGGATGCTGCTTTCATGGCATTTAAGAGCAAGCAAGAGGCTGCTAAGGCTAAGGCAAAGGCAAATAGCAAGGCCAAAGCCAAGGCAAAAGGTACAGCAAAGGCAAAATGCAAGGCAAAGGCGCATGCAAAGTCAGCAGGTTGCATGAAGAGGCCTGCATCACAAATCTCCATGCCTATGGCTTTTACCTATGAGCCAGGTGAGCCTGAGGAGAGGTGGGATGGCAAGTATGACTCCTGGTGCAGCAAGCACTACCATACATGCAGGAACATGGCAATCAATGCTGGCTACAATGATGAGGCTGCAAAGGAGTTTGGCAAGGAGGCAAGGAAGAAGGCCACCCTGCTCTACAAGAAAACCTTTGGATGAATGATGTTTGAGAATGAAACTTTGGCCCACCAGTGGTTGAAATTTGGTTTTACCAAAATTACTACTTTGACATGAGCGATCAAGATTTGGGGGAAAAGGGTAGTGGGCAATGTGAGTATCAAGTATGTCATGTGCATTTGTTTTGTTGCCATGAGGATAGTCCATGGGTTGCATACCATTCATGTTCAAGCCTGGGGGCTCTGGTGGCATAAGGCCATGTATCATGCATTGGTTTTCATGTAGTTGGTGCCCCCCTCAGCTGTGGACCAATGCATTCATGACATGAAGCTGCCTGCTGCGTGAGCCCATCATATCAAGCCTCAGCTGCTTTTCATGCATGTCCATGACTCTCATGTACAGCATGCATGGTTTTTGCATTATATTCAAGCCCAATGTGCTTTATCACCCATGTTCATGATATTCCTTGCTGATTCTGAAGTTCCTGCATCATGCATGGGTATGATGTGCATGGTCTTGAAGCTATTTAGCTGCTTTATGATGCTGTGCATCCATGGGGCATATTGTGCTCAAGAGCCACTAGACATATAAATTACTGGCATCATGCTGCCATGCCTTTGGCCTTGACAAAAGTAAGCACCCCATACCCATGGTGGAAGCTGCAATTTGATGGTTCTGCATGGGTTGACTATGTGCGCCCTAATGGCAATGTGGAGCTTTGGGCTGTCACCTACTACAGCAGTGGTTGGTCAGAATGGCTCCTTAGTTGTACATTCAACAAAATTGTTATTTATATATATATATATTTAATTTTTTATTCATTTACGTATATTGTTTGGGTTCCCTCCAAACTTGTTGTAGATGTTAACACAGGGTTTGTTTACCCCCTATAGGCATTGTCCCACTCCCAGGAAGACTCCAGAGGAGAAGTCATATGAATGGGTGTGGATGACTAGTGAAGATAGGCAGCAGCATTTAAACAGCATCAAAGCTGACAAAGGCTATCCAGTACCCTGAAACCTGTGGTGATGGAAAGCTGAATGGATGATGTGTGAGAGGAGGAAAAAACAAACATGCAAGCTGCTATATGGAGATAGTGCAGTACAAGTCTTGTGTCTACAAGTACACATGTATACAAGTCATGGCTCATGTACATGCATGTCATGCTCAGGTCCTGGAAGCCACCATGGTGATGCAATGTTCAAGCTTTGAAAGCTATTGTTTTGACCCCAATGTTTTACCCATGGGCATGAGGTAAAGGTACCATGCATGGCCATGGGTAGTTGAGCTATGCTGCCCTTGAACATTCTAAATCTATTTAGCCAAACATGCAGCTTGGCTCAATCCATGCATTTTAGCTCGAAATTGCCAATTGTCTTCATTCAATCTTGCTTTACCATGGCTAGCTCTGGTGCTGCTCCTTTGTTGCCAGCTTCTGGTGCTGGCCTCCCCTTTGAGATCCCCACCCCAAGCCACAGCCCATTCCAAATTGAGTCCAGGAGCTCTAGCTACTGGCCACTTAGACAGGATGACTTGTTAAGAATGATGCCAGAGCCCCAAAGGGACCAGGCATGGCATGTTCTCCCTGCCAAGTTCAAATTGGAACCAAGTGGTGATGGTGGACACTATCTTGCTTGTCAATATGCCAATGGTTGGGAAGAAAGGCGCCTTTGGAATTATTTCAACATTTTTTCTATGCAAATGACTTGCCATGACCAAATGAATCCAAATAATTACCACCAAATCACACCAAATATGTTTGTGTGCGTTCAGGTGCCCATTGTGGATGGCATTGATTGGCCAGCTCAAGTTGGACAATTACCAGTGCCAAATGGTTCAGCATTTGATCAAGCTGAGTGCCCCATGTGAAGGCAACCCATAGTTTTTTTCATGTGGACATGCTGGCATGACTTGGAACTGCAATGTTGTCAAAAAAAGTGCATGCTGAACCCTTTAGCACATGCTGCTATGGTGCTAGCATGCCTCAAGTGTGGCACAGCTTGGGACCCTATCTAAAAAGCAGAATCTAGCCATTAGCTGCTTATAACACAATTTTGGACATTTGCCAATTATGTTGCCAAACTCTCCTGGGTAATATATAGCCCTGCCATGGCTGCATGCAACATGCCAGAAAGCTAGTTGCAGGAGCACCCATGCATGGATCATGTCATGCACTTATTCTTTATCATGCCTGCAAGCTAGCAAGCTGTAGCTATATACCATGTCATGGGCAAATACATGGGGAATGCATGGTTTTCAAAGCATAGGCTGCCATGGCAGTATGACATGGTGCATCATGAGTTCAAGCCAGAAGGCTGTGGTGTACATGTGTTTTTTCCATGGAACAGGCATGCTTGGCATGGCAGGGTGCCTTGTTTGGCCACATAGTTAAAATGGTTCACCTTCATTTCTCTTCAAAGTTTTTTGGCTTAAGGCAAAGGTGCATGTGAATTTGTAATGTTTCACCTATTTCCTTTCCATGAGTGAGAGGCAATCAAAATTGAGAAGGTTAGAGGAGCTGAGGAGGAATAACCCTCACATCTCTGCAAGTGCCCTGTCAGAGGTCATCCTAGACATTGAGACACATGGCTTGCCAGAGCTCCATGCCAAGAAACATGTCCAGGAGGCAAGAGACTCCACAGTTTCAGAACATACTGCTTATGGGCCTTTGCTGGAGACAACTTCAGTGACTTGCAAGGATGGTACAAAAAAGCAAATCCTGTATGTATTTTTTTTGTCATTGCTACAAGCAATGTTTGGCCAAGGAGGTGCTATGACTGCTTTGATCAAAGCTACCTTGGAAAAATACCCTTGTTCTGCAGACAGACCCTGGGGCATCATTTACTACAATGATGAGGTGGTTCCTGGTAATGTCCTTTCAGCTGACCCATCCAGAAAGGTGCAATGTGTGTACCTATCCTTCAGGGAATTTGGTCCCATAGCTTTAAGTAGAGAAGAAGCATGGTTTGCAGTGCTGGCCTGCAGGTCATCTGTAGTGTCTGAAGTCAATGCAGGGATGAGCCAAGTGACAGCAGCCTTGCTAAAAACAATCTTGTACCCAACATGTTGTGATCCCAAGGCTTGTGGTTTTCTCCTGAAAGATGACATGGGCAACACAATGAGGTTGCATTACAAGCTACATGCGTTCCTCCAAGATGGGTCTGCACATAAGTTCATTTGGAACCTGAAAGGCGATGCTGCAACAAAGTTTTGCCTGTTTTGCCAGACCCTTGTGACCAAGAAGTCAGGGGTACAGGATGAGGATGGACAGGACATTTTGGTGGCTGATGAATGGGACTTGTCTAAGATACAGCAAGCAAGTGACAATGAAGTAGCAGGAACAATTGCAAGGTTGGGTGAAAAGTCCAAAGAGCTGAGCAAGGCAGACTTTCAACTTTGGCAGCAAGCAGTTGGGTGGAACTACAATCCACATGACCTACTTCATTGTGCAGAACTTTCTCAAGACATTTTACCAATTTCACAATTTTTACATGACTGGATGCACTGTTTTTTGGTCACTGGGATTTTCCAAACTACCATGTTTCTCCTTCTATCTGCAATTGAATCAGAGTTTGGTGGGTGCTATGCAATTTTTGAACAGTGTTTGCAAAAGTGGAAGCTGCCTGCAACACAGTCTTCAAACCTAGCTGGTTTGTTCTCCAAGAAAAGGGAAATAGCAAACAACAAGGCAAATACATTTAAATGCACTGCTTCAGAAGGATTGTCTTTGTTGGCAGTCATTGGCTACCTTCTATCACAGTTATTCCTGCCACATGCTAGCCAAAGCTTGATTGCAAAGTGTTGGGCATTTTTTCACTTGGCCGACATCATTGAGTTGATACAATTAGTGCCCTTGGGGAAGGTTACACCTGAGAACATTGATTCAGCAGCCAAAAGGTTCATAGATGGATGCCTTGATGTTGGATGGAAAGATTGGATGCATACAAAATTTCACTGGAGTCTACATTTTGGCAGCCACTTGAGAAAACACAAGCAACTGCCCAGCTGTTTTGTACAAGAAAGGAAACACAAAGTTGTGAAGAGCTTCTTGGCAAGCACAAAAAAATAATGCTGTATTTGTTGGGAACTATTTTCTATTGTGCAGGGAATGTGAAACAGAACTTATATAGTTGTTTTAAAATACCTGTGTGAACTGAGGATATGCTGGATCCATTCTCAACACCATCACCTTTGAGAAAAGTGTTATGTCTGAAATTGTGTGCCATGACTTGGCAAAACTCAAGGACCACCTTCTTTTCAGTGAAGATGCCAGGCTTGTGAACAAAGGTGCTCCAACCAAGGCCTTCAAGTCCATGGTCATACAGGCATTTGGCTTGGATAGTGGTGCTACAATTTATAGTTGCTCCAAAGCACATATGCAACCAGCAGGTGTGTGCACCAAAGGCGATGTTGCTTTTCTACAAAAACAACCTGGAGAACAACTCCAAGTATGCAATATTTGGATGCATGTGGAGGTCAACAACACTGTTTATTCTTTGGTGTCAATGTGGAGAGTGATTGAAATTTGCCAGCTTGGCTGGTTTGCTATTGCAAAGAAAAGCAAAGATGCTGAGTTCATAGCAACTAGAACTTTGGCATGTTGTACACCGTACATGAGCTATGAAGGAGATACTTTTAAGGTCCTGGTTCCACTTCAAATGAGGTGAAGCTTGGTCTCCTAGCTTTGATGATAGCTGGTGAATAGCCATGCTGAAAAAACATAGCATGCTGGCATTAGGTGAGTTTGCTGCTTTTTGAAGGCCATGTTGCATTTTAAACCTTCTTGGTGTATTGCATAGTTGTGACACACAATCCAACCTCCATGACTTCAAGCCTTCAAAGGCTCTCACACACACATATCCATTCTCACACACACACATACATGGGAGGAAAGATGCAAACCATGAAAGATGGCATGCTTATAAAGAGCAAACATACATCCAAACCAATTGACACTTTCAAGCTAGAATGGGTTTCATAGCATGTGAAAGAGAGAGGGGGAGAGAGAGAGAGAGAGATAGATAAATAGATAGATAGATAAA